GAGGGGTCAGTGGGAGGGGCAAGCTGAAATGCCTCCATTCCTGTTGTCCAGGGATGCAGGTGATTCTGGTTTTCTTTGGACCACACTGGGAAGTGGTAGGAATTAACAGGTGCAAGGGACAGTTTTGTTTGTTTCGCCTTTTATACCTGTTAGTATAACAGAGAAATCAGTACCAGGACCTGCAAGGACTTCCATAGAACCTGGAGACTAGAGCCATCCCTGACAGCTCAGGATATAAGAATGCTGTTTTAAACAAAGTTGTTTTTAAGACATGGTACTAAAAAGGTTCCAGTTTATTAAAATACAGTCATCAAAATATTTTAAGCATGAAATGTGACAAACACTGTGCTTCCCTATTACTGAATAACAACTGATCATTGCCACAGTTCTATAGTAGTGATAATTATAAATGAGATACCAACAAATGCTATTGCATAACAGTATTTGTGATTTGTGCTGGCTGTAGAGATAATAGTTCTACCAATACTACTACGGTTTGTTGCCTGCATTCAGGTGGGAGGGAATACTGAATTATACCTAGTTACTAAAAATAAAAATGCAGTTTCTCCCCTTGTGAGTTCAAACATGCTTGAATCAATTTGGGTTAAATAAACTGTGCTTGAGAGGTGCTCAAGCAAGGAAACTGAGCTAGCTGGAAAGGAAACCTATTGTTGGCAGAGCCTGTGAGGAAGGCCCACCAATCATCACAGCCCAGAGCTGGCAGGGATGGTGCCCATTCAGAAGACCAGAACCCCAGGGCTGACCTCAGTGCTAGGAGTCTTAACCCACAGCCTCAGTTCTCCATCATGAAAATTGGGCCAGCATCTCTGCTGCCCTAGCACATAAAGCAATGGGAAGCTTAGTGGAAGCATCAAAGCATCTAAAGTACCTGGTCCTTGACCCCAGGGGAAGACTCTCAGAAATGGACCCACACAGCCTCAGGCTCAATCTCTGTTGTTGAAGGCTCTGAGTCCTACTACATCTGCACCAAGAGACTTTAGTTGGAATCGGTGCATTGTGAGACTTCTGCAAAATAGGTGAAAACATCACTTCAGAGACTACCACTGGAAAGTATCTATAAAGTGCAACGCGTTCTGGCAACAACGAACAACTCACATGAAAGGCGAATACGACCATGCTATTGTATGGAAAAGCAAACTGCCTGCTTCTCATCGCTCTTACACCACAGCAGTCAACACTGGAGATTTCTGCATGCCCAAAGGTACAAGGATTTCTACCCACCAGCAAGCAAGCAATTCTTTAGGGTGTATCAGTGGGTGTCCTTCAATCCAACTCAGCCCCACACTGCTTGTCTATAGACAGCACTGCCCACAGGTGGGGCTCCACACTGAGGCCCCCACTAGCCCAGGCCATCTTACCTGGGATTCTGACCCCATTCCACTGGCTATAAAGCAGGGTCCTCTCCGCAGTCCTTGGGATGGATGGACTTGCTCCCCAGCTCACAGGGCTAGGGACACTGACTCACTTCCTCATTTCTCATCAGGATGGCACCAGGCTGCAGATGAGGGGTGCACAGGGGCAGGTATGGGGAGGCTGTCTTCCCACCCTCCTTGGGCCCCACCCTGCCCATCTCCAGTTCCCAGAAAGCCCTCTGAGTCCTGGCCTCAGGGTTATGGAGGTTTCATAACACCGGTAGGACTGAGTGAGTCTATGACCCCTCTGCCCTTCTGGAGGCCAGGCAGGGCAGGGAGTCCCAGACCTGGGACCTTGCCTGGGTCTTTCCTTGTCAGCCTATGCTGAAGTCACCCAGAGCTGCTGGCCAGGGCTAAGCTCATTAGCACACAAAACAGAATCACTCAAGATTCCTGGAATTATTAGGAGTTGTAAGAAACTGGAACAAAAACCAAACATATTTCACAGTATCACAATTATCATGGATAACAATGGTAGGCACCAAAACTAGGACTTGAACAGCAAGCAGCTGGATAAAAAACCATTCATGACTAATTAGCCATAAAAAGGAAAATGTCACCTGAATAAATTTGGAGGGCATTGTGTTAAGATCTATAAACCAGGCACAGAAAGGCAAGTAACCATAATCTTACTCATACATGGAAACTGGACTTTATTTAGGCCACAGGCTCTCTGAATGGCCAAGAGCACTAAGTCAGGATTTCTAGTTGTATAATTTACACCACAAGGGGAAAGGAGGTTAGTTAGCAAGAGTTTTATACTGTCTGGTGGGAGGGATTGAAAGAGACTAATGGGAAGAACTAAGTAAACAAAGAGAGTTGGACCCAGCAGAATCCAGCACTGAGCCCTTCTTCTATAGGCTGGCTCAGTTCCTGGTATGTTTAACTTTCCCACGTGCCTAACACCATTGGCAGGATCACATGTGCTTCCCAGGGAGATGACTTCCACTCTGGAGACGATTCCCTCAGCTGGAAAAATTCATTCCACAAGTGCTCATGCCTGTCCACCAGCATTGTTAGGCTAAAAGACAGCAGAAGGTGTACAATGTAACTTGTGACTATGGCTCAGGTTCATACAGCCAACTTCCACCAGTGGAAGAACCCTCTTTTGTCCCTAAAAATCAAGGCAAGCTCCACAGGGGGATGGCAGGTGCACAGTGACACAGGGGCTGGGGGAGAAGGAATGAGGCATATCAGCAGTTTCTCTGTTACTTATTTGGTACCCATCAAAGGGCCCTAGGCCTCAACTGTCTGGCTAGGATTTGCGGAGGTTCTTCTGTGATGGCTGGGATGTTGGACACAATGGCCACATGCTCTGCAACCTCCTCATCCGTTGCAGGTGGGTGGTCTGCTGCAGGCCACCTACAGTCACTAGGCCATCAAGTGCTGCAGCCTCACGCAGGATGATCAAGCCTGTCCCTTCCGGGCACCCTACCTCTGTGAGAGCCACAGCAGGCACAGTGAAAGAAGGGGTGAAGGGTTAGGGTTAGCGCTCGGATACGGTTTGTGAGAAACTGGGTTCACATTGCAACAGGGTGCTCACAAAGCTTTGTATAGAGCAGTGGATACTGCACCTTCCAAAGGCCTAAAAGCACTCTGAAGCCCAAGATTATCATTGGCTGCTCCACGGAACGCTTTGTCAAATCACATAAGGTATCATTTCCATACTGTCCTGCGCACCGCACCGTGGCTGGAAGACAGCATTGCTCTTGTCGCCCTGTCACTCCTGCAGGTTGGAAGCTGCAGTTTCTGCTTAGCCCACTTCTGAGGTGAGAGGACAAGGGAGGGGACTTCATTTCCTCTAGTCTCGGAGGACCCTTGGCACCTGAACAGGCAGTCAGGAAAGGGGACTTCAATGCATTACTTCTGAGGGGTCTCAATGGAAGTGAATGCTAAGCCTGCTCTGTGCCCAGTCCACAGGGAGTGAGAAGTGTCCTTGACCCAGTGTTGATACGCCTGGGAGGGCTGACCCCAGAGGGATGGGCTGTGCTGAGAAAGAAAGCCTCTTTCTGTAGCTTGGGAGTTCACATGCTTTCAGCGCTGGGTGTGCGTGAAGGGCAGTGCCTCAAGCCCCCCACGCTGGAGGACCGGGAAGGGACAGCCTGGTCATCAGACAGGGTGGGGGCTCACAGGTCACTCCTGCCCTAGGACCTGGTTATCTTCTATAAGAAGGCAGCCTGAGCCTCTTCCTACTATGCACCTTCTGTTTTCTTCCTGTACTGTGATTCCCTTCATTCTCCCCGCTCCCTAAACTTTTGCCTGCACAGGCATGGGATTGCTGTGTTTTATGCTTGAGGCATCCTTTCCAATCAGGGACTTGTGTCTGCCCACATTTACACTGGGCCCTGTTGTCACAACTTTCGTGGTGTCCAGAAACCCTGCCTTGCAGCGTGCATCCAGCTCACACCCTCTTCCAGAGCTGTAGTATCCAGGTGTTAATCCCACTTCACCTCCACCTCTCCTGAGAAGGGCGCTGGTTGCCATCCTGCCTGCCATTGACTACAATGGTGCACCCACTGTGGACTTGGGAGGCGAGAAAAACTGCTGTTCTGTGCCCTTCACCTGATGAAGTCTGCACAATGAGATACCCCTCTGCACCCACCAACAGAGGCTGGGAGATAGGAGTCAGCAGCTGCTTTCTGGCCTCCCCCATTCTAACAGGGTTGAGTCATCACGCATCAGTGTGCACTGTTCACTGCTCAAAAATCTAATGAGCACTTTTGAGGCAACAGGGTCACAAGCTCAAGCCCTGGGCAACTCAGTAAGACCCTGACTCAGAAATATGCCAGGCATAGTGGTGCAGGCCTGTAATCCCAGCACTCGGAAGCCTGAGACAGGACAATCACTTTGAGTTGAACGGCAGCTTGGGCTAGTGAGTTCAAAGTCAGCCGAGGATGTACAGTGAGATCCTGTCTGAGAGAAAAAGAAAGCAGAAAGCAAGAGAGAAAGAGAAAAACAAAGACAAAGGCAAAGGCAAAGGCAAAGTGAAAGAAAGAAGGAGAGAGAAAAAGGGAGAAAGGAAAAAAGAAAAACATTTTTTCATATTCTTAGGGTTCAGCAGATGTAGTTCAGTGTACAAGCCCTGGGTTCAATCTCCAATAAGATAAAGAACAACAGCAACCCCCACCTCCCATGAAGTATCACTTCCTAAAGACTTAAGCCTTTTTGGTTTCTTCTACAAACACAAATTTCATAATGAAATCCTCCCACCCACAACCCTTGATATTCAACCCCCCTCACTATCAGTGAGTTCCTCACCACCACCCCCCACCCCAGCTGGTGTCTGGCCCCCGGCACCTTCAGCAAGAATTCTCTTCACTGGGTTCAGCCAGACCCCTCACTTCCTACAGATGGACCCACCCTGAAGAGAGCTGCAGGTTTCCACTCCCATACTGGGTTTAAGGTAAGCCTGATCTCCCCAGTGTGGCCACACAGTCAGCTCAATGCTGCTGGAGGAGGTCTGCCCTGCTGTGCCTTAACCAATGTCACTGAACAGTTTCTCCTTAACACTAGGACCTGCCCAACAGCATGAGAAGCAGCCTAAGGCATAACAGGAGGCAAACAGGCTGGAGCAAACCCACTTTATTTGGTTCTGAAAGCCTAGCCCACAGAAGTAGGTGAGACACAGCTACCATATCTAAGCCCAGGGACGCCTCAGGACAGGAACTGTCCCCCCAAAATGGCCCCACCTGCAACCTCATCAAGCCTTGAACCATATGTTGCAGTGAATCTAAATTCACATCTGTATCTGTGTTCACTGGCCTGGTCACTCCGTCCATTCCAGGCTGGATTTTTGTTGTCTGAACTAATCTATCCACAATACTGCAGCCAACAGCGCAATGACTGAGAAGCAAGCCAGGGACACGGCAGGGTCATACCCCAGGGTGGGCCTGCAGATACCTTGGGGATAGTCTTACCCCAACCCCTCTCTGGGACAGGAGGCCTTTCCACAAAAGGAGGGAGGGTGGGACTGCGAATGTGCTGGAGTCACAAATAGCAGCCAAGGGGCACAAGCTAAGGAAAGAAAGGAATAGTCCAGAAGACCAGGGCTACAGCTCTGAGCATAAAATGCAGCAGGACCCAAGGGAGAATCCTCAGGGCCAAGGGTATACCAGTCTTTCCTTCCCTTCCTGCAAGAGCTGGGTCACATCCAGTGGGATCTTTCCTTAGTACCAACCTCAAATCCAGTCATGAGCTGTGTGTCCTTGCCCAGGGAAGAACATCCTGTGACCAGCCCATCTTGGGCACTGGGAAGATGGCCAAGCATGCCAGGTGCCAGGCTCTGTGCGCAAGCAAGGAGCAGATGATGCACTGGGGAGGGCTCAGGACCAGACTTCAGAAGGCAGTGGTGCAGCCTGAATATTTACAGCTTGAGGAGGCGAAAACAATGCTTGGCTGAGACCTGGACCTTCAGGCACCAGCACTGCTTCAGCTGCTCCATCCAGGTGGCGGAAGAGGGTAGGTGGGGCTGCTGCTGGCCAGTGATGCAGAGTGATTCCTTCTGCCCTCAGGCATAGGGGGACCCAGCTGAGTTAGTGCTTTCACTGCAGGAAGGGAGAAAAGGGAGAGAGACAGAGATGGAGATGGAGACAGAGATGGAAACAAAGAAAGACAGGAGAGAAAGATGAAGACAGAGACACACACAGAGAGAGAGAGAGAGAGAGAGAGAGAGAGCGCAGTAGACAAGGAGACAAAGATACACGGAAAGACAGAAAAAGTTATGAGATATATACAGAGAAACAGTGAGACAGAGACAGCTTCTATTCAGGGCATCACAAAACCAGACTAGAGGCAATGTAACACCCACTTGAAAAAGCCAGCCCTTTGACCCTGTCACAGCTGGTGCACATGTGGCATACATATAGTACTGGCCCCAGGCCAAACTCAAAGGCTGTTCTGGCAACTCCAGCCCCTGGAATCCAGGGTAGGGACCTCTATAATCCCACACCCAGTCCCATGTGAAGGATGAGGACACCTGTTCCCTCCTCAACCCCTGTCTATACCCCACATGCAGCCTGAGGCCATGACCACACAAGCAGAATGCCTGCAGCTTCCTATAATCAGTCAAGGCCTTCTTTCTGACAGACCTCCTGCCCCAGGCACGATACCTGCAGCAACATGCTCAGGCCCAGGCTGTGGTGTTTCTTCTCCAGCTCCAATACAGCCTGCAGCAGAGAATGGAACCGCTCCACCGGGTCAATAGTCTCCTCCACTGGGGTACCTTCCTCCTTCCCAGCCTCTTCCAGGAAGTGCTCCTCCTCCTCCGCGAAGAAGGCACGAAGCTTCCGGTAATCAGTCAGGGCCTTCTTCCTGCGGTCCATCACATGCCCCTGGAGGCAGGCAGTGGAGAGGACACCTATGTCCCTGGGCCCATCTTCCCAGCTTCCGGGTACAAGAAACCTGTTTGCACTCGAGGGAACCCACACTGCCATCCCAAAATACTTCCACTGTGGCTCCACTGTTTCTCAAAGTGGACAAAATTCATAGAAATCCATGAATATACTCTCTGTTGTGGTCTTCATATGTCCCAAGACATGCATGCTGGAGACTGGTGGCAGTGAACCAGTGGGACCTTTTAGAGGGGCCCAGGGAAAGGGCCTAGGACCCCTTAGTTCCCCAAGAGCAACCTGGTGTCAACAGGGCAAGTCTCTAGCTCCCTATAGCTTCCACATCCCCCACTGCAATGCCACTCCACAGGGCCCTCACCACAGCTAGATACATGGGGCCACCTTTATGCGGCCTTTCAGCCCCCAGACCTGTGAGCTACAAAAACCTCTTTTCTTTAAAAAATACTCAGCCTTGGGACTTTAGCTACAGAATTAGAAAATAGACTGGAGTGATAAAGGAACAATGGGCATTCCTGTGATCTACACTGAAAGGACTCCTCACAGACCTTGTTAAAATAGCTCTTATCTTTATACCTCTCAGCATCATTCTGTTGCTTTTTCACCACCCACTATTATTGAACCAACTTGGTCTGAAACAATTGCTGCTTTGGTTCTTCTTTTCCTTAGGAAGGCTTTGTGCTCTCCCTCAAACCTGTGTCAAGGATGTCTGTTCTACCCCATGCATCTGACTTACACCAATTCAACACACTGGCCCAGCCTGGAGAGTGTCCTTCTCTACACAGTCATCCATTGGTCTCCTCCAAGGATGAGTTCCAAGATCCACAACCCCAGGACACTAACTTGTGTGGACCCTTGGGCTCTTTCCATAAAACGGTACAGGATTTGCACAGAATCTATGCACATTGCTCTGTGTACCTTAAGTCATAACAACTAACACAATGTAAACACTGTGTGGTTATTCCACTGCCTTGCTTAGGAAATAATGACAATAAAAGTCTGTCCATGCTCAGCACCATTGTAAGATATGCAGCCAGCAGGACACCCAGGGCCCACTAATGTGGCTAAAGACCCTGCTGTGCCTCTTCCTCATAGCCCAACACAGAGCTGGCTGTCAGAGCACATCCACCTTTCCAGGACCCTCATGCCACCCTCAACAGAGCACGAGACTCCAGTCCATATTTAGTCTAGAAAGCAGGAATAAGGAATGATCTGCTCAGACTCACAGGACACCCATTGATGGAGGTGAAGACAGAGATGGAAACAAAGAAAGAGAGGAGAGAAAGATGACCATAGAGCCCTGGACCATACAGCACACACTCAGCTGTGGTCATAAGACCAGAACACGGAAAGGAAGAGGACTGCTGGCTTTTCCAGATTCTATTTAGGAAATACCAAAAAACAAAACCACATCCTAGAAAACATCCAAGCTCACTGAGTCCACCCAAGGTCCCTCTCCAACCATGCCCGGGGGACCCCCATGCCTCACATTCCCACTTGCCTTCCACACAGCAGCTGCAGATTCTGCCTGGCCATGCAGGTCCCGAGCATCGTTCAAGTCCTTTCTCATGATTTCCACAGACCCTTTGTTCTCCTGGGAGAGAAAAGCTGCATATTGGGAGACAAGTAGAAGGTCCCAGGGCCCAGCCCACACAGTCCAGAGACTTCATACCACTGATCCCACTGTCTGCTCTAGAAATAGCCATGGTACAGGATCTCTGGCTGCCACATCTCAAACAAAAGGGGAAAGGCTACAAGCACCATAGGGTATGGCAGATGGTTCCATGATCCCCATCTTCCCAGAAGCTGGCTACAGCCCAGGCAGCTCTTCAGGGTGGCCTGCCACCCGTATTTTTAAATGGGCTCCCTGAGGAGTGAACTTATTCCACACAGGGCCTGCTCAGCCTCCTTGGCACCCTTCCTCAGGAAGGGGACAACCAATAGCAATCACTCCAGGATGGTAATGGGCACAGCCTGGGCCTTTCTTCCAGTGTGCCTGGGTAGCAGCCCCAGGTCACCATCCTAGCCCTGCTTCTTCCTCCCTGTGTAGGGCCCGGGCAGGTTGGTCAACACCCAGAGACCTGGTCACATAATCTCAGAAATGACACTGATCCCTAGCTATACTGCAGAGGTGCAGCTCCAAGTCCCAGAGATCCAGCTATGGCCAGATTCAAGGTTAATTTCTGCACAATAGCAAGTTTAAGAACAGGGTGCTCAAGGATGGCCCTAGGGTTAACCTCAGAGGGCAGAGGTGCTGGGTCAGCCACACTGGAAGACTGGGGCGCCAGCCTCGTACCCAAGACAGAAGCTGGCACCCTGCAAGGGTGGAGAAGCCCCCTCAGGGCAGTGGTGGGGGCATCCCTGGGAGAACTACAGAAAGGGAATCTGTGAGCCTCTAAGATGAGAGAAGGGAGAGAACAAGGTCCAAGGTGGAGTGGGAGATGTGGCACTGCAAAACCAGTTGCTGCCACGGGGAGGTGGACAGGGCAACCTCTGGAGGAGAGACAGCATCCAGAGTGGGGAAAGCAAGGACCCTAAAGTAGGTAGAGGTCAGGACTCAGAGAAGAGGACAGAGGGGCCGTGGCTGCCAGAAAACCATAGGGACCTGGGGATGGAGAGGAATTCGGGTTCTTCGGGAACCCAAGGAGAGGTCTGGACAGGGGTCTGAGCTCCAAAGGGACCCAGGGGTGGGGTGGCATGGTCAGAGCAAGGGTCGGGGCTCCGCAGGGACGCCCCCATCTCGCGCACCTTGCCACGCAGCGCCCTCCTCCAGCGCGGCTCCCACTCAGGCGGAGCGGGGCCAGCGGCAGTGCGACACGCGGCACACAGCGGGTCGCCGTCGGCGCGACACAGCAGCTGCAGCGAGGCCTCGCTGGCCGGACCATCGCGCATGGGCCGCGCGGCCGCTTCCTCCAGTGCCAGCAGGCGGCGGCTGAGTGGCGGGCGGCCCGACTCTACCGCGCGTTGCCAACAATCGTCGGTGCACTCGGGGCATGGGAAGGGTCCGTCCTCCTCCGCCCAAAAGCGCACCACGCAAGCCCGGCAGTAGCGGTGGCCGCAGTCCGCGCGCACGGGCTCCCGGGGCGCGTGCTGGCACAGAGCGCAGGCGGCCTCGGCGGGACCAGCAGGGAGCGCCAGGGTTGCGGCGGCAGTGGTGCGCGGAGGGAGAGAGTAAGGGGTAGCGGGTTGCAGCCGCGGACCCAAAGCAAGACAGCAGCGGTGACAGCAGCGGCGGAAGCGACGCAAGGGACGCGCGCGGGGCGGGTCTTGGAGGCCGCGCGCTCAGAGCGGGGTCCCGGAGGCGGGGCGGTCCGAGCTGGGTCCTGGCAGCTTTGCAGTCCCACAAACAAAGGGTTCTGGCTGCTGCGCGCTCCATTATTCTGTGAATAAGCGTCCTGATAACCGTGTGCTCCAAGCCAAGGCCCTGGTTACTATCCAGTCCACAGGTCAAGCTATGTCTTCACATTATTGCCTTACTGGAGCCGACATTAATGCATACATAAGTGAATCATAGGCAAGAGGGAAACAACATTTTATTATTTGGAAAGCCCACGTTTTTTGTTTTTTGTAAGCTGCTAGGACCTGGGCAGTGAGGACTCGCTGCTAGGCTCCAAATTCCTTAGAGGTGGGGGTGGACCTGAACAGGCTGCGGCACGAGTCGCGGATGTCCCCAGGAGAACGTGCTCTGGTGATCCTTTCGTGCGTGCACTGGCCCCGCGTGGATGTGCTTTTCGTTCGGAGGCCGAGGGCCGTGCTTTCGCTGGCTCTCCCTGTGTGGGCACGGATTCCCCGCACTAGTACTGAACATCCTGCCCTGTGTGGACCTCCACGGGGGGGGGGGGGTCCAATCTGGCACACAAAATGTCTTGCCCAACATCCCATTTTGGGGACCTCCCCGCGTCGACCTGTCATACCAGGCAGTGCTTCCCTCCAGGCTTCTAGGAGCCGGCCTCGGAGTCTACTCTCTGCCATTGTTCTCCCCAGGTCCAAGGGTGGATTCCACCACCAGGAATATGTCAGATGAGCATGTGTTACTTTTTTGGAAGGAGCAATCTATTTTTTAATTTTGAAAACAAGCAAGCAAGCAGTTTTAAAAGATACTGTACAAATTAAGTCTACGTATTCTGTTATTTTTTTAAATGTCTCTTGTGAAAGAGTTGTTGACGCAGACTGGACACTGTAGCCAGAAAAGCCTCCGCCGGAATTAGGGAGCTCCTGCCTCCCCCGCCCCTAGAGATTTACCTGGAACCCTATACCCCCACCCTTCGGAACCTGCCCCTGGCGCCAAACGTGTGCCAATGAAATACCTGTGCATCTCTAATGGCCTTAGGGCACTGCCCTAAGCTTAGGCTACTTATATTCCCCCACGCGACGTGTCCATGTGAGAGAGATCGCCAGATTCCAGCGGCCAGTGTGCCAGTCCTCTCTCCCCGTGTTCCCAGAATAAAGGCCTCTTTTGTTTTATACTCCTCATCTTTTGGAAATATTTTTCATCTTCTGGAAGTAATCCTATCATCTTGTTCCATACAAGTGCAAGGTATATGAAACCGCGTTGTGTGAGGTGTGTGTGTGTGATCAATTTTGTGTAGATTTGGAAGTGCATTAAATGGGTAGTTGATAATGTGAATAATATACTAGTTGTACCAAAGATGAGAAGGCTTCAAGTTGAGCCTACTCTTGTGGCCCACAAACGAGCCCCCGAGACGCACCCCCCCAACTTGGCGTCCAAAAATGGGGCAAGACATGTTTTTTTTTTTAATTTAAAGAAAAACAAAACAGTAAAAGGGTACGAGTAATACAGAATTTCAAAAAAAAAAAAACAGTAAGAAATCAATAGTTAATAGATTACATATTTTGATATTAGAAATAGTTGATCAAGTTACAAAATTAAGCATACAAAGTGGAAATTCAAACAGTAAGACTGCAAACAGTTGTGTTCAATGATCGAACAAAAACTTAGTAATGTGATCATCTATCTTACACACCTAAACACACTTGCAGTTGTGTCCTTTAGAGCACTTTCTTGTCCTCTCTTTTTTTACAATAACGTTTACACATTTTGGGTTTTATTACTCCTACAGTTCTTATTTTTTTTTTTGGAGGATGATAAAACCAAATGTGACAAAACAAAGCAGCCAGCCAAAACAAAGAATGGACATAGTACATGATGTAAAAACAGAATACAAGGTAATCAACAATGGTTACCATAATGCCTCTTGCTATCTTAAAAAGAGTTGCCTATATCATCAGGTATAATAAAATTGAACAAAACAGTACAGAACAAAACCAATAAAACCTAAACATTGGAGACCTTACAGGACTTCAAAAGAAGATAATAGTCAAACCAGAATGGGCATCATAGTGAATCTTATTGCCTTCAAAGTAGTTGCCTATACCCTCAAACTTGATACTATCAAACAGTATCAAAACAGAGTAAAATAAGTCAAAACAAGATTGTGAGAGCAATACAGGGCTTCAAATCAAGTTAATAGGAAATCAAAAAAGTTACCATAACATATCCTCCTAATTTTTAAAATTTTTCCCTTAATTAAAAAAGATAATAAAAAAATTTTTAAAAGGTGGGAGATTGAAATAAAAGAGGACATATCAATGTAACAATACAGGTCAGAAGAAAACAATTTAAGCAACATAGTGTTTCACCACAAGATAAGCTGACATAACAGTAGTTATCATAGTGTCTCTTTCCTTGAAATATTTGAGTATAACTTCATACACTATAGCATCAAACATCAAGACAGTGTGAAACCATTCAAGAGGATGAAAGTATTACAAGGTATTTAGAACCAGCTAACAGAAAATGAACAATGGTTTCTATATTATCTCTTTGCCTATAAAAAATTTTGTTTATATTATCACATATAATAAAATCCAATAAGGTGCAACATGATAAAACCAATGGAGACAGAAGAGCAACAGCTTGATGGGACTTCAAAACAAGATGATACTAAATCTGCACTAGCTATTATGATGGCTTGTTTTTTTCAAAAGAGCTGTTTATACTATCACAGACAATAAAATCAAACAACCCAGAATAAAACCATTCCAATTAATGAGTGAAAACATTATAAGGCTTCGAACCAATATAATGGGGAATCATGATTACCACATACTTTTTTGTATTTGTACCATTTCTTACACTAGGGAAACTATTCGGTATTCATACATGTGAGTGTGATTTATTTCACTTATGAGTATGGTCTCAAGCTGTGCCCATTTATTTATAAATATTTCAATGTGATCCTTCTTTATAGCTGTGTCTAAAAATACCACAACTTTTTTATCCATTCCGCAGTTGATGGACACTTAGGTTGTTTCCAAGATCTGGCTATTACAAATTGTGCTGCTATAAACATGGGTGCACATATATCACTGTGGTATGATGTTTTCAGTTCTTCTGGGAATATGCCTAGAAGTGGAATAGCTGGGTCGAATGGGACTTCAATCCCAGCTTTTTGAGAAATCTCCAGACTGACCTCCACAATGGTTGCATCAATCTACACTCCCACCAACAGTGTAGGAGAGTTCCTTTTTCCCCACAGCCTCTCCAGCATTAGTTGTTGGTAGTTTTCTTGATCCTGGTTTTAATTTGCATTTCTCTAATGAGTAATGAAGATCAACATTTTTTCATGTATTTATTTGCCATTTGTATTTCTTCATCTGAGAATTGTGTATTCATCTCAGGTGCCCATTTTTGGATTGGACCTTTGAATTTTGGGGGTCTGATTTTTTAAAAAAAATTCTTTATATGTTTTAGACAGAAGTTCTTTGTCTGAGGGACAGTTCACTAAGATTTTTTCCCAATTGTGGGTTTTCTTTTCACTATGCTGGAGATTTCTTTTGACATGCAGAAACTCTTTAATAAGATGTGAACCTGGTTATTAATTCTGGGAAGTATTTCCCGTGCAGTTTGAGTCCTGTTCATGAATTTTGTACCTACCCCTATGTCTTCAAGGTTTTTAACCCAATTTGTCTTCCAATAGATTTTGTGTTTCTGCTTTAATATTCAGATCTTTGATCTATTTAGATTTTAATTTAGTACATGGTGATAGGCATGGGTCTAGTTTTAGTTTTCAGCATATGGAGAGCCAGTTTTTCCAACACCATTTATTAAAGAGACTGTTCTTCTCCCAGTAAACATGTTTGGCCCCTTTATCAAAAATAAGGTGATTGAGTGTGTTTGTAGTTGTGGTTGTAACTTCTAATCTATTCCTTTGATCTTCGGCTCTGTTTTGGGTCCAGTACCATGTTGATTTTGTTACAATAGGTTTGTAGTATAACTTCAAGTCAGGGATTGTGATGCCTCCTGCCTTGCCTTTGCTACTTAGAACTGTCTTTGCTCTTCTGGGTCTCTTGCTCCAGATGAATTTTAGGAGTGATTTCTCGAGATCTATGAGGTATGTTGATGGTATTTTTTATTGGGATTGCATTGAACACTTTTGGGAAGATGGCCATTTTCACAATATTTATTCTTCCTATCCATGAGCAAGGGATGTCTTTCCACTTTCTGAGATCCTCTTTAATTTCTTTTTTCAGTGTATTACAATTTTCCCTGTATAGATCTCTCACTTCTTTTTTGAGAGTAATTCCTAAATATTTCAATTTTTTGGTTGCTAGTGGGAAGGGTGTGGATTCTCTTATTTCTCTGTCGTGATTTTGTTCTTAGTGTATAGGAATGCTATTGATTTTTGAGTATTGATTTTGTATCCAGCTACATTGCTGAATTTATTTATTATATTTAAAAAGTCTTTCAATGGAGTTTTGGGGGTCTTCTATGTAGAGTATCATGTCATCTGCAAACAAGGATAATTTAACTTCTTCTTTTCCTATCTTACACCTTTTATTTCTCTCTCTTGTCTAACTGCTCTGGCTCGTATTTCCAGTACTATATTAAATCGGAGCAGTGATAAGGGACATCCTTGTCTGGTGCCTGATTTTAAAGTAAAGGCCTTCAATTTTTGGTCATTTAGTATGATACTGGTTGTTGGTTTGTCATAGATGGCCTTTATTATATTGAGGTAAAGACCATCTATTCCAATTTTCTGTAATGTTCTTATTATGAATGAGTGTTGGATCTTATCAAAGGCTTTTTCTGCATCTATAGAAATGATCATGTGATTCTTACTTTTACTTTTATTCATAGAATGGATCACATTTATTGATTTACATATGTTGAACCATCCTTGCATGCCTGGGATGAATCCCACTTGGTCATGGTGTTTAATATTCTTAATGATTTGCTACATCCTATTTGCCAATATTT